CCCCGCAAGAAGAAATAATCCCCCTGCAGGGGGTGTGATCGAAAACAAAAAGGGCGGGTATCGAGGGTGTGTGGAACTCGTTTTGAATGACACAAGGGCAAGTAAGAGCGAACAGTCTTATAATGAGTGTTGTTGGTGCTGCTACTGCTGTTGCTGTTGCTGTTGCTGTTGGTTTTTTGTCCCAGCCATCCTGTGGTGTTGGGTCCTCGTTTTGAAGAAACAGCGCCCCGCGTCTCACTCCTTCTCCTCTCCTCCTCCTCCTCCTCCTCCTCCTCTCTCTCCTCCTTCCCCCCCTCTCTCCTCTCGTCACCTTCAATTTGGCGCACCCCTCACACGTTTCGTGGCCCCATAGGGAGCTCCAGTTAAGGTCCCAGCGGTGCAGTTCGCATGGCGGCGCCGCCCCATTTCGGCGCACCCTTCGCACGGTTCGTGGCACCATCGGGAATTCCACCGAAGGTCCTGGTGGTGCAGTTCGCATGGCGCCGCCGCCCCATTTTGGCGCACCCCTTCACACGCTTCGTGGCCCCATAGGGAGCTCCATCAAAGGCCCCAGTGGCGCAGCTCGCGTGGCGCCGCCGCCTCATTTTGGCACATCCCTCACGCGCTTCGTGGCCCCATAGGGAGTCCACCTAAGGGCCCCATGGCGCAGTTTGCATGGTGGCTCCGCCCCCTTTTTCGTCACACCCCTCGCACGTTTCGTGGGCACATCTAGGGAGCTCCACCGAAGGTCCCAGTGGCAAGCTGCGCATGGCGGTGCCGCCTCAGTTTGGCACTCCTCTCACATAATTCGTGGCCCCATACGGCGCCCCACCTAAGGTCCCAGTGGCGCAGCTCGCATGGCGGCGCCGCCCCATTTCGGCACCCCCCTCACACGCTTCGTGGCCCCATAGGGGGCTCCACCGAAGGCGCCAATGCCACCGCCCGCATGCGTCACCCACACCCATGCCGTCACACCCCTCACACGTTTCGTGGCCCCATAAGGAGCTCCAACGAAGGCCCCTGTGCCACCGCCCGCATGCGTCACCCACGCACATTCGGGCACACCCTTCACATGTTTCGTGGCCCCATAGGGAGCTCCACCGACGGCGCCAGCGGCTGCGTTCACATGCGCTCACCGCACCCATTTGGGTACACCCATCACTGTTCGCGGCCCCGTAAGGAGCCCCACCGACGGCCCCAGTGGCTGCGTTCGCATGCGCCCACCGCACCTATTTCGGCACACCTCTCACGCGTTTCGTGGCCCCATAAGGAATTCGACCGACGGCCCCAATGGCTGCTTTCGCATGCTCCCACTGGACAAGTTTTGGCACACCCCTCACACGCTTCGTGGCCCTAAAAGGGAACTCCCCCGAATGCGGAACACACAACGACAGTACTCACAACTGCATAGGGTTGGGTCCTTCGCCAGGCTATTTTTTTGACGACCTCGTCGGGGATTTCCGAGTCCCCTGTACCCAGGTCTTACGTCCCCCTGACGTTAGCAGCACGTGCAAAAAGAGGAAGAGGGACGGGAGCCCATCGGGGGGGCGGCGGGTGGGATGTTGTTTCGTTGCGCGCTGCCTGCGACCGAGGGGCAGTTTCAGCACGCGGGGGCCCTCGCCGTGCCCCCCCCTCCCTTCCTCCACTGACCCTGCTCCCCTCTCCCTCCCGCTTCCCTCCCTCGAGGGCAAGAAAATCAATGGCCATGGTCAAGATGTCGGTCATGGTCGACACGGGGTTCTTTTTAGACCCCGATCTCGGTTCATGCCAGCCGTCGCCGATTCGCGAGGATGATCCGCGAATCGATCATGGCCAAGATGAGCGATTACCAAGGTGAGCATCGACGTGTCCGCGTTCAGTATTGGTCATCGTCCTCGTTTTCTTTCGCTCCACTCTCTTCCTCCTTCTTGCAGTTCTGTTGCCTGCTGACTGCGACGGAGGGCAGCAGCTCCTGACATCCTCACGAGTGAACCCATGCCCTTTCGCGTCGTCAATAATTTGGAGATTTGATTTTTAATGATCTGCCTGAGAGGCCCTCACAGGGCCCCAGGACCATCAAACACCGACTCAGGTTGAAACTGCAGTATTTGGGAAGAGGTCTGGACCTTTGGGGGTCCACGTCGTGAAAGATAATGACGTCGAGGTTGTGGAGACATTTGACCGTGCGTGGCACGGCGAGCCGCATCCTGCTTTCTTGAACAGGCGACTTTTTCCACGGGAAACTTGCAGCAGTCTGCTCCAGCCTCTGGCCTCCTCTTCCTCAGACCTCCTTCCTCGGGGGCCTCCTTCGCGTGTGTTCCCACGCGCCCGCCCCCCCGCGCGCGATGGTGTCTGTGTTTATATTGGTGTTATGTCAGCTTGTGATTAATCATTGACGCCCCCCCCCCTCGCAAGGCTGATGGACAGACCTCTTTTGGGCGCGATGTTTTGTATAATCTGACGCGCCAGGGGTCGTCGCGGCTACTCTGAATAGGAGAACGGGCTGGGTGGATACAAGGAACCGTGATGAATGGGGTGTGCGGTGGGGGAGGGGAATCAGAGCATGGATACTTGATCTGGGGTTGTACACGAAAAGAGCAGGAGGATTGTGTAATAAGTAGTGCGAGCCTTGGATGCATTAATCATGGTGCAACGTCCATTCGTCCATCTTGACCACCCAGTCCATCTAGATGGTTTTGACGGTCCAGACGTAGTACATGGCCCGGGTGGCCGTCCAGGTGGTCTGTTGCCATCTAGTCCATCAAGGCCATTCAGATAATTTCGATCGACTAAATAGTCCACCTAGACGTTCCAGACCATCTAGATAGACTAGATGGTCCAGATGGACTTTATGGCGGCCGACTAGCTGGGCGACCATCTGGCGCATCTAGGTGAACCATGTGGACTAGATGGCGGCCGACCGCCTGGACGCCATCTGGCCATTTAGACGGTGAACATTCTGGCGGCTTGGCCGCCTTGGCGGCCATCTCAATTTAGATTGACCAGATGGATCGGATGGTCGCCCACCGCTTGGCCTGCCATCTTGGTCATCCAACTGGGTCACATGGATTATGCCGCCTGGCCGCCTGGGCGGCCATCTAGTCCAGCACCCAAGACCACCCGACTGATCCAGAATGACGACTAGATGGATAAGGCGACCGCCAAGTCGCCAAGGCAGCCGTCGAGTCCACCAAGTTCGCCGAGACCATTTGGATTGTTAGGATGGAATCGGTGGAATGGATGGCCGCCGAGCCGACCAGGTGGTCAGTAGAGATCTGGACGGCACAGGTGGTTGAGCCTTCCAAGATGGTCCAGCGTAGGCGTGCTCCCTCCGTATGTCCTCCCTCTCCCCTCCGTTCCTCGCAATCGCCCCCTTCCACGCTCCCGCATCGCTTCTCCCTGCACCCTGGCTCCGTCCTCTCCCTCCGTCCTCTCCCCCTCCTCCTCTCCCCGTCGTCCTGAGGCCTTTCTCCCCGCCTATATCCCCTTTATGCCCCTCTGCGCCGCCTCGCTCTCCAATATTTCATACACCCTTTTCCATTTTGCTCGCCTCCCTACTTCACCCTGCTATGTTGTATCCGTTGCCCTCCCTCCTCATCCTGCCGCTGCTGCTGCTGCGGCTCCTCCTGCTCCTCGATATCTTCCCTCCTCCCGCCTCCCTCATTATGCTCCTTCCCGCGCCTTGTTTCCCCCTCCTTGCTCTGCTCATCGTTGCTGCATTATTCCCGATTGTCCCCCTGCTGGTCCGTTTCTTACCTTGACCTCTTTCCTTTCTACCTTTTCGTGTCCTCCCGCTCCTCCGCTCTCCCCCCTTCCTGCTCCACGATTCCATGCCATTATCCTTGGTGTTAAGAGTCCCTGCTCTCCCCTTTCGACTCCTATCATTTCTCTTCTCCTTCCATCGTTTCCCTACAGCCGGACCGAGGTACAATATCGAGGTCGGTTCGGGGAGGTTACCCCAGTGTTCTTCGTGTTTGTTGGATGCCCTCGTGCATCCTGGGGAGAGTACCCTTGGCAGTTCTCTTTGTTTTGGCCGGCGGAGGGTCTCATGTTCTTTTCGGATGTTATTTTGGCCTAGGTCCGATGTGGTTTTAGTGTCCCCCTCCTTCTTCCATCTTGCCTCCGCCATGCTCCATCTCCCTCCTCCAATTAGTCTGCTTCCCCTGTCCTTCCTCCTTCTCTCCTCCCTCCTCCCTCCTCCCCCCTACCACCTCCCACCTTTCGCATATCCCTTTCCCCACCGCCCTTCTCGCCCTCCTCCCCCTCCTCCTCCTCCTCCTCCTCCTCCTCCTCCTCCTGCTCGGTGGGTAGTAATATCACTCTTGTGATGGCGGTACTCCTGGTACTCCTCCTCCTTGGGGCCTCCTGGGCACCTCTTGTTTGGGGCCGCCTTGGGGCACCTTTGGGAGCCTTGGGGGCCATCCTGGGGCCATCTCGGAGGAGATCGATAGAAGGAGGAGCGGTGCTAAATTATTACCCCCCGAGGAGGCCAAACAGTTGCCAAAATCTTGGTCAAATCACTGATTGTAGCCTTCTCGCCGAGGCCACCTTGGACGATCCAACCCCTCGCGAACACCCCCTTCCACGTCCAGGTTGAGAGGGGTAAACTCCTCCCCGAAAGGGAAGGAGGAAGATGGAGGAGGACCCCCTCAAAACCACTCACGCTCTAAAGGGCTGGTGGGATTTAGACGAATGCTGACACAGATCGGTGAGGAGGTCACTTACTTTTCCCGGGAGGCTGACTGTGATGCAGCATCGCTGAAACAGTCCATGTTTATTTTGGTCCCGCCTCCTTCCCCTTCAGAGGGGGGAGAAGGTGCTAACATCACAGCTTTATCGTCGCGTGGGCCCCCCGGGTCAGTCGAGTTGATTCGTCCTGGGTGTTCGCGTTGACGGCAGGGGCCCATCATCGATTCGGAGGCTGGAAGAGGCTAAGCGACATCGCTGTCGCGATAGCTTCGCGACGCTCAGATCTGATGGGAAAAGGAGGTATTCACCTTCCTGCTGCGGCGTTCCCGTCCCGCGCCAGCGCGCCCCCCAAGGTGCGCCCGAGACCATCGCCAAGATAGCCCTGGAGAACGGCCGGTCGGAGTCGGCGGGCAGGGCGGGGGGCGGGGATTCTGCTCGAATTTCCTGCCCACACGGTCGGCGCCGCAAAAACTGCGCGTTCAACGCGGGCGCCGCGCAAAGTACGCATCGAAAGGCGCCGCGCACGGTCGCGCGCGCCGCAGGGACTCTAAAAGTGCCTTCGGGGCGGCTCAGGGGTGACCAAAAACATGCAGAGTTTGTGTGCCAGCGCATTTTCTTTTGCGGCGTTGGGCCCCCCCCCCTTCCCCGGGGGGGTCGAATTCGAGGTTTGGGGTCCCCAAGGGAGGGATTATGGGGGGAACAATGAACAATCTCACGCGCCTAAGGACCCACAATCAGAGGCCAGCAACATATGTACACGTACGCGGTTAGTTTCCCCTGGAGTGCGTGTCAATGCGGACGTTCGTGCAGGCAAGACCGCGGAGGGCGTACATGTACATATGTCGTTGCTCGCCCACACAAGGGGTCGGCCCTTTTACGGCGATTAGGAGGCTGCTCGTTTGATCAGGAGACGCCCACGTAAATTCAAAGGCGGTGGACTGATCATCGCGTGTTCCTCCCTTTTCTTCCCTGATGTCGCACTCCTCGGGGTGTGTGTGGAGTGTGGCTTTTTTGGGGGGGGGTTTGAAATTCGCGTGTGGATTGCCACGGTGTAGCCGATAAACACTGCATACGTTGCGAATGCATCATCGCAAATGCATTGCATGCCTGTATTGCATGGCAACATCCGCGTCCTCAGAAAGCGGAGAGGGGATGCGGGGGATGGATAGGGAGGGAGGACACGGGGAGGCGAACGGGCAGATGCAGGGGAGGGCGTGAAGCGGTAAAGGTTAAGACAGGGGAGGAGGAAGCAGGAATCTAGGCGAGGGGGGACAGATGGAGGGGTTTGTGGAAGGGGGGGGAATGGATGGAGAGAGGGGAAGAGGGGAGAGGATAGGGAGGGGTGGGGGTGGGGTGCGAGACGTGGGGCAAGAGGGAGCTGGGGGAGAGAGCGAGGTGGACGGCGGGACGTGGGGGGGAAGGGGCAGAAGAGTGGGGGAGGACTGGGAAAGGGGTTGTTGGGAATCCTTCTCCTCCCCCAGCTTCGCTTCCCTTCCACTCATTCCCCTTACCTTCCGGCTCACCCGTCCCCCTCCCCAATCCCCTCCTCAGCTCCCTCTCCCTCTGTGTTTTTCTTCCTTATTTTCATGTCTGCTTCTCCTCCCCTTCATCCTCCTCATGCTGCTCATCCCCGTCCCGTTGCAGACTCTCCTCTCGCCCCCTTCTTCTTTTCTGTCCTTTTCCCTAATTTCCCAATCAGTGCTTGCACTGAAGGGGTCCTAGCGGATGTTGATAGATTTGGCTAAAAAGCCGGCCCGATTTTGGTGGGCGACCGGGTTCTTGGGTTACCGGCTCCAGGTTTCCCGTTCCCGGTTGTGGATTCCAGGCCTTTTTCGGTGGGCGGCAGGGTTTTGGGTTACCAGTTTTTTGGGTTCCTGGTCGATCTCCTTATCGGTCGGTCTGGCTATCGATCTCACGACCCATCGTTCCATCGATTTCCCGATCGATCGCACTATCGATCTCACTATCGATCGCACAATCGATTTCAATATAAATCGCACGAGCGATCTCACCATCGATCTCATTATCGATCTCACTGAATCGACTTCGCTATCGTTCTCACTATTGACCTTACTACCGTCCTCACTATCGATCCCACTGCCGATCCCACTATCGATCTCAATGTCCAGGTATTACTCTTTTAACCATCCACTGCTTGGGGATTTTCTCTGGTGTAGTAAGTCATTCCGCCCTGTGGGACCCCGAGACGTGTCGGCAGGGCGTACTGGGGGTTTCGTTTGAGGGCTCCTTACAAGTCTTATTCTTAAAGATCAGTTTCATGGATGGGGGGGCGGGCCGTTTTCTGAATGTGGCTATCTCCTTCGCGTCGCGTGCATTCGTGTTTCAAGTTTGCAAGAGTTTTACGGGTGGAAGGCGGACCGTTTCCAAAATGCGGTTGTCGCCTTAGCGCCGCGCACATTCGTTTAACACCAGTTGCAGGAGCTTCCTGGATGGATGACGGTTCCTTTTCAACATGTGGCTCTCGTTTTTGCGCCGCGCACATTCGTCTTAATTGTTTTGTAGCAGTTTCAAGGTGTCTTGTGACTAACGTCCTGAGTCTGTTAGTTCGCGGTGTTGTACTGACAGCATTCAGGATCGTCAGGTCACAACAGTTATGTTGATTCGCTGCGTCGACGTCCCAGGAATGGTGTCTTGGCACGGTTGATGATTTCCAGACGGTTGTCTTCCAACCGCGCACTTCCCGCAGTGAATCAACCGTTGTAGGGACCTATGAAACGGAATTTGGAGCGAGGGTTTGTTGCACCATTGTTGATGCGGCTTGGGTCTACACAGGTCCTCCTCCTCCTCCACCTTCACCCTTACTACCCCCCTCCTCGCCACCGCCTGCTCGCTCCTCCTCGCTTCCCGCTCCACCTCGCCCCCCCTCGCCCCACCTCCTTCCCTTCATTACCTCCTTTGCCGTCGTTCGCCGTGCGTCACCGCATACCGTGCGTCGCCTGCGGTGGGCGCCGAGCGACGGCGATGACCACTTGTGGCGGCGGCGTTAGCGGTGGCCACGTCAGCGGCCACGGCGGCGTCGACGGCGACTGGGGGGACAACGTACCGAAAACGCTATTTCAAAACAGCTCTCTCTCGGGGTGTGTTCTGACCAGGACTTCGAGGAGCCTTCGGCCGTGGCGACGAGTGTTCTCCACGTCGAGCAGCGGTATCGGTACCGCTTCTTTCTCTGAGCCACGACGGCGGCGTCGACGACGACCGCTGCGGCGGCGGCGACGGAGGTGCGCTTGCGCGCTTGCGCGCTTCGCCGCGCTTGCGCCACGCGCCGCCGCCAAGGCGGAGCGAGAGCAGGCGCGGCAGCGCGCGGACAGGCGCCGCCCCCCCCGCGCATGCTGGGCTGGCGGCCTCCCCGCCGGCTGGGCCCTCGGCAGGCTTCTCCGGCGGGCCCTCGGCCGCCTTCGGCGGGCCCCTAGGTCCAAATCTGTGATTTCAATATATAGATATATACGTTTTCAAATGTGTATATATGCATACATGAATTATATATATGAATATATATATATGTACATATATATATATATGCATGTATATGTATGTGTGTATATATATGTATATGTGTGTATATATATATGTGTATATCTGTTCTTTCCCAGATTTCGGGCCCAGGACCATAAGGCATGGACCCGGGGTGCAAACCGCCAGGGAAGGGGTCGGCACCTCGGGGCCAGGCATTGAGCAAGCGGTAGCGTCGGATGTCTGGGGAGCCCTTCGGCGGGCCCTTCGGGGGGCCCTCGGCGGCCATTCCAGCGGCCCCTACGTCGGAAAGCAGCGGGGCGGAGGGCCAGAGGGGCGTCGGTCGGCTCCGACCTCCGCCCAGCTCGGCGTCGTTTTCGTCGCCGCCGCCGCAGCCGTCGCCGTCGTCCTCGTCGGGGGTCGGGGAGGATCGTGATTCTCAGGACGACGTGGGTTTATGTCGTTGAGCTCCGCCGATAGCACAAACGCGCGGCGCTTCCTCGACGCTGGCTTCGGAAGCCCATTCGCGGCTGTTCGGAACAGCAAGAAACGAGCTCAGATGAGAAACTGGTCCTCGCAGGCGATCTTTCGCCCCCCATCCAAGAGTTTGCCCTCAACGTATAGGACGACGAAAAAAAATGGGGAACTCGGGGATACACCCCGAAGGGGCTATTCGGGCACACCGCTGTCGAGAATATACGACCCTATCATATATCCTCGACTTGGGCCCCTTTGTGGTGGTACGTTCGCAGGTCCCGCCTGGTCGCGGATTTTCGGCGGCGCGCCCAGGGGTGAAGGCAGAGGGTGTGTGTGCCTTCTCAGGGGTCTCGAAAGGCTTCCAGTCTACTGAGAAGCTTTCTAAACTTTACGAAGCCTCAGAGGGCTTCTCACAAGGACGGATGGCTTCTGAGAAGTCCCGCCGCCTTGTGAGACTGCGTGCCCCCTCTTACTTCCCCCATCGGCGCGCCGCCAGAAAGTTCCACAAGGTCGGGGAGTGGGTCGCCATCCACCGCGCTGTCCCTGGGAGGGGACTGCGAGATTCGAGAGGGCCTCCGTCACGAAGAAGTCGTGGCGTTGGATGTCTGACACCGGCCTGCCGATTTCTGCCGATCCGACGCTCCCGACTCCTCGTCTAGACGCTGCGAATGCATGCATGTGTTCGTTGTTCTCTCTCTCTCTCTATCTCCTCCGCCTCCGCCTCCTCCTCCCATTGTCCTGTCTAGCAGGCGCACTGGCTGTGAGCGCTTGAGTTCAGACTTTTCCCGCCTAAGCGACGGACGGCGTATGGCTTCGTGCTCGTGCTCGACACTCCCGACTCGGCTGCGAAATTCTGCCGATCCTATTTCTTTTGATCGCTTCTCCGACTCGTCCCCATTTCCCTGAAGTTCACTTCTCTTCCACTGTTCCTCCTCTTCCTCCTCTTCCTCCTCCTCGTCCTCCTCCTGAGGGGCAGGATGAGGAAGAGGATGGGGAGGAGGAGGAGGAGGAGGCGGAGGAGGAGGAGGAGAAGAGGGAGGAGGAGGTGAGGAGTATAATGACATGCAGGAGCAAGTGGCCAGCATGGTTGTGGGCGCGCGCGTGCGCGCGAGGGAGGGCGGCAAGCCTCCTGGTGGGGATGATGGTGA